GATATTAATTATAAGAGCCTTTATAATGATATGAAGTGTTTTAAAAAACTTTTACCAGATAGAATTTATATTATGAAATCTGACTCTTTCAAAATTGCATCAACAGTGTTGTTGCTGGTATGCATCATCCAATATTTTACCGAAAGTAGCCCATATTAGACTAAATAGGGTGGTTTTGACCTAATTACAGTACACACTTACTATTAGTATATGCTGTTGCTTACTCGGCAGGACTGAGACAGGCTCAGCCGATATATGAGAATTGAACCATGCAATTTCACTAGTATAGGCCGATCCATAAATTGCTCCATGATTCCAATGTCTTTCACTACAAGCCTGATTCATGTACTGGTCTTAGAGTCGAGCATTTTTCACTTTCTTCATACAGGTGATCTTTACATGCAGTCATATTAGACTGAATTTATTCGGGACTGGAGAATGTACAAAGGATGGACTCTCAGAACTCTGGTCCATTCAAGACGTGAATGACTTCACAATATACCTATCATATGCAATACATGAATGTGTTAGCGACTTTAACAGACTGGGCAGCTTGGCTTGACAAAGGACTCTGCTTCTTCTTCCAGGATTCTAATTACAAGAGCAAATGTTGGCCTCTCCATAGGCTCTTGTTTCAGGCAGTCACGTATCAACCTGCATAAAATATATTAAGAACTAAGAAATCTAGGAGATAACAACTCAAGAGATGAAAAAAACTGCAGCAGGACACAAGTACAAACAAGATCTCTGCTTCATTACATTTCAAGGATTTCTATGTGTATTGGAAATAAATTTTTATCGTGTTTAATATCTGGAACTCATCCCTGCCACAGTTAAAACCATAAATCTTGACAGATCCACATTCTTAGTGTGACATGGCACTAGCACATAATCATAACATGAAAACTAAGATTTGCCTTGTGTGCAGAGAGATGTACGAATTCTTATTAAATACTATGTGTTTCACTCCATTGGTGAGGCAAGTGTATGTGAAAGGTCTTGTCCAAAACATTGGATATGTATTTTGAGAATAGTCTCAAAATAACACCCTCCTATCATTTCCAGCCTGTGAGCTGAAGATAGTTACACACTTGTGGGGACCGGATAGGGTGCAAATCCACATTTATTTGATTTGTCCATTGTTGTTATCACTTGGAATGAAATCAATGAGGAGATTAGATGAATATATTGTTGATTACATCATAATCTTAACACTTCCTCGTTGTTTTGCAGATCATTTCAGAATATTTTCTATTACAAAAGTGTTCGGTTATGTGAATCACTTGAAATAGTAGTGAGTTTGTGCGGTGAGTGCCTCAGTTTCTAAGCTTGAATGAGTGAGTCTTCCACAAAATTGTTTCATTGTAATGGCTGATTAGAATTAACTACTAGTAGCATAATCATGACCAGTAGACCAGGTTAAATGGAAAATTGTGTACTCTGGTTTTGCACCATGACTGGAGGCATGCAAGAAGATGAATGTTGCCAGCATCCCTAGGCAAAAGTCTGCAAAAGAATGGGTATTATTTATTGAGATTGAAGATTTGGGAATCCTCGATGTTAGCCTTGTGATCGTATCTACTGTGTAATCTAAAACTATCAAACAGCTAAGTAGAGGTAGCTTTGCGAGAATGTTCCAATTTGTAACTACCCTTGGATGATGTTCCTTTTAGTGAGAATGAACTGTTTTACGAATTGAATCAAGGCATTGGTGGTCAGGGTGTAGATGGCACAACATGACATCTTGAGTTCCATTCCTACCATGGGTGAGGCCATTGACCTACCTAAAACAAAAGGACTGAACTGTCTTTCTTCATTGTTATTTCAAGATTACTTCTTGAATGGTCCATTGGTTCCAGTTTAGGTGATGGCATTGTAACATGACTAATAACAGGATTATTAGATGTGTAGTTCTCTTTCATGTTGCTCCATCAAATGGGAGTTTCATTTGCAACTTGTAAATTTTGATAATTGGTGGTCCAATTTCTTATGATAATTGTTAATGTAGGCCGGTGGGAAAATCCAGGGCATAGTGAAGAAAATGTCAAATTAGAGAAATTGCAGTGGAAAAATAGTACGAATCAATCACATGGTTTCAGTATTAGGTCGTAGTAATGTCTACAAGTACCTCATGATTCTTTATTCTTGGGAGAGAGAACCGTAAATACAAGATCTTGAGCATGCATACAGGTCCTCAAGAAGGTGTTCTGATGAATGGACTCTTGAAACGATGAGCAGTCCTAGGAAAAGTGTCAAGAATCAAAGCGAAGGACCTTTATTGTTAGAAATAACCTCCAATCAAAGGGTCAAACAATGACACTCATTAAATGATATAACCTAAGATCAACCACTGATGGTGATCAAGAGCTTGGTATTTCAGAATTTTAATTTTTTTTTAATTTCATGGATGTGGGTGTACGTTTTTTATTTTGTTATTAAGGTTAGTTTTTTATGAATTATAATGTGGGGTTAATCTCCAACACTTAGTTTCTAGTTTTCTATTTTTTTTCTTTGTTTAACTACTCATGGGTATTGTTCAAAGATTCTCACAAGTACTGTTCATGCATTACTGTTGAAATGGGTACTTCTCAAATTTTTAATATTGTTTGGGGTATTTAGAGTCTTAAATTGTTTACTTGAAATTTAAGTTAAATTTAGGGTTTCTTAGGCTTATAAAGGTGGGACGTCAGTTTATGAAAGAAGAAAGTTCTTATTCTCTTGGCTTGATTTATAGCCATGTTTTTTCTCCATTGCTGTCGATTGCTATCGTTCCTTCAGTTCTCCTATACCAATTGGGTACCAGAACTGGGTTTGAAGACAACTGGACATTGAAATGGCTGCTCATGGAGGTCTTAGCTGTAGGGAAATCGATCTAAACTGATTGTGCAAGGAAATCAACAACTTGATGGAGAGGGCTAGATATCTGCTACGTAAGCGAGACCAACACCATCATCTACTAAACAACGAGGAATCCAAAGGAATAGATCTGAATTGTGAGAGTTTTTGCGGGGATTGCGTGAACCAGAGTCTTGAGTCAGAGTGGGAAGGGACTGATGATGTGTCAAGTTACGTAGATGGGTTTGATGTGTGATGGCATCGACAAAAGCATCATTTTGAAGGAGGTCCAATCTTCACTTGGATGCAATATTCTTTGAATCAATGAGGAGGATCTTATCTTTGATAGTGCTCCTATTTTTTATAGTGATCATAATTTTTATAAAGAACCAGGTGATCCTATCTTCGATGATGGTCCTATTTTTAATGAACCCTTGGATAAAAATGAACTTTGAGATTCTATCTATGACGAAGAACAAAATGCAGGCGATACTGTGATAATGGTGGTAGTGAATAGGTAAAAAAGGAGGCAATTGGAGGCGAAGACAGTAAAGAGCTATTTTCTCTCACCAATGGTGAGGCTGACCTTTCTTGTTTCCAATTAGAGGATTCCATCCACAAAGGTAGGTTATTATAGTTGGGTGCAACGAAATTCTCAGCAACTTGTTTGAGGATATTTTCAAGGACGTTTTGATTAGGCTTCTAACCCATAGGTTCCAGGATCAAGCCAGAAGAATGCGCAATATTTGGGTTCAGAAGGACTCATGCTAACCCATTTTAAGACTTGAGAGCGGGTTTTATCCAACTAGGGGAGAATGATGGAGATCAAGATAGTTAATTGATTCAAAAATTTAATTTATTTTTTTTAATTTCATGGATGTGGGTGTACATTTTTGTTTTTTTTTATTAAAGTTAATTTTTTAGGAATTGTAATGTGAAGTTAACTCCAACACTTAGTTTCTACATTTTTTACTTTCATTTTTCAGTATTCACTAGTTACTATTGGGTAATGTTCACAAATACTATTTGCGGGTATTGTTCATGGGTTACTGTTAAAATGGGCATTTCTGAAATTTTTAATACTGTTTTGGGGTATTTTTGAGTCCTAAATTGTTCACTTCGATCTTAAATTAATTTTAGGATTTTATAGGCTTATAAAAGCAGGACATCACATTTTGGGATGCTTATTCTATTGGCATGATTTCTATTTTATGAAAGACGAACATTCTTCTCTTGGCTTCATTTACAGCCATGCTTTTCCTCTGTTATTGCTGATTTTTTACTGTTCAATTTTCCCACATCAACAACTTATTAATCTTTAATTACAAGACTATCAAACATGTATCAAGGACATTCTACATTCAAGTAAGGCTAAATATATAACAAATAATTTCAGCATGTAATCATCCGTATAACTAAATAAACAAACCTGGAAGGGAAGGACCTTCAAGTCGCTTCCAAGCCTTCTTTAAAACCTTCAATCAAAGAGTTCAAGAAGCCCTTTTAGGGTTTTCTTTCTCAAAGTGTCAAAAAGTAAAACATATTTGGGACTGGAACATCCCTCTCTCCCCTTTTATTCAATTTGTCTTGGACAAAATGACATAAAATTGGTCTACGAAGGGTGATGATCTTAAAATTTTCCTTAACCCGTCCCAAGCCCGAGTAAAAGAGGTGGGTTGTGTTAGGTAGGCAGTCAATGTAAAATTTTGCCAAAACTTTTCACGTATCCTGAATCTATTTTATCTGTTCATGCTAAGGCATTCTTCATGAGCGAAGTGTTGTACTGGAACGTGGGTATAGTGAGAAGGCCCCATTGAGGGTATAACCGTTGATAGAGCAGAATGGTAGACCAGGATCGTGCAACCAACACCAAGTAGTTGGGAAAAGGTTCTGATGATAATGCCATAAACTACTTTTAATTAAAATAAAATAATAAAGGAGTAAACTACCCTTAAATTCTCTACAACTTTAACAGACAAATACCTTTAGGTGACTAAAATGAATTAACAGAACAAATAAGCATAATTTCCACTCTCCAAAAAATAAAAAATTAAAACCCTTATGCCATGAGTTCATCAAGAAATTGCGTCAAAGTCTCTCTCTTTCATTTCTTGGGTAGCATGACAAAAATAAGAAAAATAAACTTAGCAACTAAACAAATGGACAGGCAGAATTTGTCATTCATAATGTACTGTTTAACTTGCTGAAATCTATGCTACAAGGAAAACTGATATGGGTGCCAGCGTCTGACAAGCCTACTAAAATATTAGCCATATTGGCCATGACATACATTAGATATTCATTTCTACATGCAAGTTATTCATTTCTAAAAAATAAAGTTAAAACATAAAATAATTAATTTACAATTAGAGAGGACGGTCCAAATGTTTGACACATGTCTAAATTCATTCTACAAAAGGATGCCCAAATTCTTGATGGGCTTGTCTATATCGTAGACATACATTTCCATGTTTTGACAACATGTTTCTGACATGCCAACAAACCTTCTAATATAATTGCAGCCTTGACATCAGCCAAAATAAACCAGACAAGCATGTCCAAGTCACATAATTTGAAAATAAAATAACTAGAGGAACTTAAAAAGAAATGGGCTTCTTCATAAAAATCCTATGTTCAATACTTGAATATCATATACAATCATTTTGATTAAGTTAGAAATTTGTAGTATATCTTAAATGGTTTATGACAGGAGTCTTAAAAAATTACAAATGCTTCTTATACGATATTCAGTTTATGACAGGAATCTTAAAAAATATTACAAAGGCTTCTTATACGAAATTGAGAACTTACATCATAAGGGTTTAAATAAAAAAGATTACTGTTCCCAATTACATGCACGTCGTATATTTCTTATAAAAAAAAGGCAAGAAGTGAAAATAATACTTTTGAGCTTGATGTATGTAATATTATTAATTCACATGAATCTTTCACATAACTTATCTGATTTTGTTGTAACCCCAAATAAAATTCTATGCTAGAAACTTTTCAGAAATAATCAATCATATGTGTTGTTAATAAAATCAGGGGTGGAAATGTTCATGAAATAGTAGTTTAGGTTTTAGGTTTTAAGTTTTAAGGGTTTATAATTCTTGGGCGTCACTTGGTTTCAGAGTCATTTTTGGCCTCTTTTTGGTCTTTGGATTTCTCATTAAGCGCCGTATTTTAGGGTTCAAACTGGAATTTCCCACTACAGGACAATCATAGAGGGCTAGACAGTGTTATATGAAGAGAGCATTAAACACTTCATATTCCATTGTCCCATCTTTTATACATCTCTAATCTCTCTACAGAGAAGACTGCATAGCCTCTTTCAAAGCCTTCTCCATAGACAAGTAAAGAGTGTGTCATACAAAAAAGTGGCAACACTACACGCAGGGAAGAACACTACACACTTCGCTTTTTATAGTGTTGTCTTTCTTTAGTAGTCTCTACTCCAGAATGAACGAAGAAAAGTAGGACTTTGTTCCTTTCTACTCCTCCTCGGAAAGCAAGCACTACAGCTAGGAACAAGAGGAAGCGGGAGAACCCAACACCTCAAGGCAAGGAGCTTTGGAAAGAAGTCTCTGTAAAAAATGGGTATTTGGAAGCCAGAGTAAGAACAACCCTAGGAAGCTGAAACCCTCAGATATCTATAAACCAAAATGGCTACTCCAACTTTTTGGTTTCCAATCCATTGACAATGTGGAGGTGGAGGAAGGTGGGTACCAGATGTCCCAAAACTTAAAACAGTTTTTCTCTATCGTTCTATTAAAACTCAACAAGCTATTCACCCACTCGAGGCAGGATTCGTATCTTTATCTTCGAATACTTTATTTATCTCCCTCACATATTAGCACCATAATCCGGTCCTAAGGCTTCAGACTAAAACACAGGACTTTCACATGCTCAAAGCTTCTATAAACATTGTTATTACTTGGAAGATTACCCACCAAGCCATCAACAGTTGCCCCCAGTACCTAGAACTGTCATCAGATTCGAGGGAATATACATGGAGGAGGATATTGAGGGAGAAGTGATTGTCCCTTAGAGGATGAAGCCCTCTGAAATTTGAATTCCGAAAGCCTGGACTTTAGAGCATTGGTCTGCAAAATATCTTGAGGCTGCTAGAGGAAGAATCAGCTCCAGCGGACCTGGTCACATAGTAGATTTTGGGGAAGGAGGTAAGCCCTCAAAGGGGGCAATGAGGTCACTCGCCTCGACCATGTTATGAGAGGTAAGGATAAAAGATGCCTTTGCCAACCCTACAGAAGCTGAAACTCATACAAAAAATATGTAAACAACCCTCAGAGGAGGACTGGTTCTCTGATTTCAAAATTAAGGAGATCAAGGTTGGAGAGCGAATAGAAAATGGATCGAGAAAAAGGGGAAGAATATCCCCGGGTAGACTTTGTCTTTGGAAGAAGAATAGCAACGGCCTAAAAAACCACCTGGACTTCGGCGCAAGGAGGTGCTTAAAGATATCCTCTTTTTTGTCATTTGAGCCTTTGTAACTAAAAGACGATGAGAAGAAGGCGGCAGCCAACACCAAATCCTTCTAGAGCCCAGACTTCCATCTAGGGAAATTCACAGCACACACTCCTTCATCAGCAACTAAACTGGACCAAACTGCCCTTAATGCAATCAACCAAAAAATTGGAGACCACTTAGGAGATCAGGTTGAAAAGCTGGTACAATCTATGGGGAACTTCCAGAGAACCAATCCTCTGTTTCTCCAGAATCCCATACAGTTCAAAGAGTTCAAAATTCTGTCTTCTTTGAACCTCAAACAGCATGAGGCAACTCAGTCCCACAGACACTAGCCTTCTTGCAGGCAAAAGCAAGGGCTTGGTCCCCTAAGAAAGGAGTAAATATAACTGTCAGCAGCAAAATCAGAGCCAAGTTTCTTTAGATATTTTTTTCTAATTTACAAAATGATTAGGTTTTTTACATGTTCTGAAAAGGAGTTGCTGGGTTCTCCCCCTTCTTCTTGTTCTCAACTGCAGTGCTTGATTGCTGAGAAGGAGGAGAAAGGAACAAAGTCTAGCTTTTCTTCGCTCCTTTTGGAGTAGGGAATATAAAAGGACAATACTACAAGAAGCGGAAGTATATAGTATTTTCTTCCCTGCTTGTAGTGTTGCCACTCTTTTGTATGACACACTTTTTAGCCATCTACGTAGAAGGCCTTGGAAGAGTCTATGCAGTCCTCTCTTTAAAGAGAACTGAAGAAATACCAGAGTTGGGCCAATGGAATATGAAGTGTATAGTGTTTTTTTTTTATATAACACTGTCACCGATTCTAATTGTCTTGTAGTAGGAAATTCTCAGTTTGCACCTTAAAATACACCCCTAAGATGGGAAATCCAATGACAAAAAATGAGGCCTAAAATGACTCTATTAAAATGCAGCCGCATCATGCACGATGTGCCAACAACTGTATCTCAAAACAGCGCATATGCGCTTTGGTCGGATGCGCATGCATATGCCCCACATCCTAGCGCATATGTGGTCGTACAGCCACATAGCTGCATAAAGAGCATATGCGCCTTGTCTGCGCGAAGAAAAAATTCCCCTCAAAAAGGGGTATTAGGGTCATTTTGATCCCCGAGAAAAGGGGGAACAGGTTTGGAAGGTTTGCAAAAACAGCCAAATCTGTGGCTTTTTTCTCATTAAAACGAGCAAAACAAAAACTAAAAATGGGTGGAACTTTTTTTTCAAAATCTTTGAATTTCGTCTAGGAGGAGATTTTGATTGTTGATTGGGATTATTTTGGGTGTTGCTTTGAGGAAGTTTGATCAAAGATTTGACAACATATCGAGGGTTTCAAGGGCTGAGAAGAAATTGATATTTTCTTCAATTAACTGGTAAGTGTTTATTTCCTAATTCACTACTACTTTTTCATGGGGCAATGTCTTCTTCACAATCTTTTAGTAACAAGGATCTGGCTAGGAAATATGCAAAACTTAAAAATCCAAAAAACCGAAATTGTATTATTTGTACTCTTTGTAGACATACTTCTATGGAGAGTATTTTTGATAAAAAAACACTTAGCCAATATTTCTGGGAATGTTAAAGCATGTCCACAAGCTACCGTAGAGATTAAAAAGGAGATCAGAGAATACATAGATAGCTTGAAAAGACAAAACGAAAAGAAGAAAATGCAACGAAAAGACTTAATGGATGAAACTCAATTATTTGATGATGATGAACATTATGAGGATATATAAAAAATTAGGATGAGGCAAAGGAACTCCAAGGCCAAGGGAGAGGCTTATAAATATTGGTGGTAATTTTTGGGTAAAAAAAAAAAAACTCTCCTTAAGGGGCCAATGGATACAATTTTGCACGCTTGACCCCAAAGTTGTTGTCCAGGAGAGGAGGAAAAAAACAAAACAAATCACAATTGAAAATAAATATAAGAAAGAAGAGAGGAAGAAGGTATGTGAGTACATTGGAAAGAGGTTTTATATGGCTTACATTCCTTTCAATACCATAACCCTCAATAATTTTGCATGTATGATCCAAGCAATTGGGCAATTTGACCCAAGATTTAATCCTTCAACATTTCATGAGAAGGGTGGGAGAAGTATGGGGAAACTATTATGTGTGATGGATGGTCTGATGGGAAGTCAAGGGCATAAAGTTAGAGTTAGGTAGGTGAAGTGGATTTATGCAACCAGAATTTTACGTGATTGCTACATACCAATGAAACTGATGGGCAGGTTCTATAGGACAGCTGTGAGACCAACTTTGCTCTATGGGGCAGAATGTTGGGCTGTCAAAAAATAATATACCCATAAAATGAGTGTAGGGAGGTGAGGATGTTGAGATAGATAAGTGGCAACACAAGACTGAATAGAATTCGAAATGATACATTTGGGAAAATTTAGATGTGACACCAACAGGAAATAAGATGAGCGAGAGTAGACTTAAGTGGGCTGACCATGTGTGGTGTAGACCTTGTACAATGCTTGCTAGGAGGTGCGAGTTAGTTCAAGTGGAAGGCTAAAAAAGAGAAAGAGTAGGCCTAAAAGGACATAATTGGAACTTGTGAGGAAAGATATAGGGTTTTATGGCCTCACTGAGGGTATGACCCCTTAATAGAGCACAATAGCAGCTCAAGATTCATGTAGCCGACCCCAATTAGTTGGGAAAAGGCTTTGACGATGATGATGATGTATTTATAATTAAGTGACAAGGCTCTGTGATGTATCATGTCAGTGGTGGCATGTTGGCATGTACAAGTACTTGGGTTCTTAGTATGCAAACAGTATACTGATGTCTTCTAATATTAACATGTTTATTTAGGTAGTATGCCACATTCAAAAGCTTTTTTTATGTGGGCATGTATTTCATAACAAACATTTTTATAGTATACTTAGATATCACTCCAATCAAATATTTCTTTAGAGCCTTAGCAAAGCAAACTGGGTTTTTATTGTGTGCTGAGAATGATGGAATTGCAGTTTTGATACAACTACATGATTGCATCATAATTTCATATATGTCTATTTGATAGTTTGATGGCAAGAATCTAGTGAATGTAAAACAATCAAAATTTTAAAATGCAATTAGTAGAACAAATAATCCAATACTTACTTCTGAATCCTTACAGGGCATCGGCTGAATTTAAATTTTGGTTCAAACTTGTGTGATTCCTGATTTGGAGAGTTCATATCAGTCTTAGGTAGGAAAGTTCCACCCTCTAGCATCTGTATGAAATCCATGACAAAAATAATCTCATATGCAAAATGTTGGAGTAAGATCATAATTGGTACGTTCATTTAAATCAGATTAAGAGTTGACCTTATTTAACAACCCTAACAATTTTGATATGATTATATCATGTTTAGAAAAACACATTTAATGAAGAGATAATGAAGGATGGTATTATGCAGGTTTTTGAACCTTCATTGAGACAATCAACTAGAAAGGTAACATCTTTGCTCACACTCAAGGAATGTCATTTTCTAAACATTCGAATCCAAATAAATTGTTGGGGTTTTGTGGCCATTTAAAGGACTTATGCGAACTTGTACTGAAAATAAATAATGAATTATTGACTCCAGTAGGAGTATGGTCCAGCTTGGACTGTAGGGCATTAACAATGCCTTAGACTCACCTGAGTTTTGACTGGCTATGACTCAATGTGAAGTCCAAAACCCGTAGTCCTAGGCATTGTGTAAGAACAACAGATAAGGGTTTTGATGTGGGTTTATCCCTAGATGAGGTCGGAGATGTGCCCAAGACAGTTGGTCAGGGGACATGGATTTGACCCTTGTGTGATGGATGACCTGAGAGGACAAGGGCCTAAATCCTCATCATTACCTGTGTACACTAGATAGCCGTCCAGGACGTGACCCTTTGGATAAGGGTGTGTGATGTGTACATGTGCGGATTTGTTGGAAGGATCCATGCAACATACTGCTATGTTGGAAGGGCCTAAATCAGCATCATTACCATCACACTGGACTATGTTGGAAGGATCCATGCAACATACTGCTAAAATGGGCCCTAGACTTGTCCTCAGGGAGGGACCTGAAATCTATGGTCTAGGATCGTATCTTCTCCATTTACTGACTAATTTTGATGGTCCTATCATGAACCCGTATGATGGGTTGTGGGTCATGGGATAGGTTGGGTCAGTTTGAGAAGGTATACTGAGATGCAGCCTCCAAAGAGGATGGAGTCCTCAGTCTCTAATCAATAAGCTAAGTAGTTGGAGTTCATAATGAACACCATCAAGTATTGACCTATGATCTATTCATTTTATCTTTCATCCAGTGTCTATGTTCCATGTAGTCACTACACCCATTGGTTCTTTAATTGTCATTGCATTTCTCCCACTTTTTTCTCTCTAGTTTCTTTTTATCTATATTCTTCTTTATACAAAAAAACTACAACACATGACGGTTGGCGAGAGCCTTGCACCATTTATAGAATCAAACATGGGACTCTAGTATCGCTTGTAGCTGAATTATAGATGCGTGAAGTGGGAATGGGACATTGTCGGTACTTAGATGGAAAAGGATAGGAATTGGTCAGGCAATTAGAATCCAAGGTCAAGATCCGGTAGAGTGAAACTACCACATAAGTACAAAGTTCCTGAAACATGGTGATAAAGACACCTCTTAAGTTTTAAAAGGTTAAAACATTATTAGAAGGATATATCGTTAGATGTTAGGTATGTATGTTACTTAAAGCTCACATAGGAGCATGAGAGACCATTGCTACCAAACTCACCAATTTTATGGTCCACTACAAATTGCATCTTTTAGAAGATTGAAGCATAAGAATTCCTGCTTTAGGAGGATCTTAGTGGAGAGATTTACAGAAACTTTTGAATATCTTATTAAATCTTACTTAATCTACAAGCACTTTATAGGCTCAAAAAAGCACCAAGAGCTTTGTTGAGTGTTCTCAAGTCGTTTGCACTTTAAGTGCCTTGGGAAGTTTGCTATGAACTATTCAACGCATTGACAACATTATGATTAAGTGTAACGATGTTTACAACACAGCCCATTAAGGAAGTACGACATTGGTAGTTTTAGATGAAGGATATATTAGAAACCAAACTTTAGTTCTGCTAATATGTTACGTCTCTGTACTGCGGCCAAGTTTTGAGAGGTACCACTAGCCATAGTGTCATGAAAATGAAGGATATATCAGAAACCGAACTTTAGTTCTGCTAATCTGTTACATCTTTGTACTGCAGCCAAGTTTTGAGAGGTACCACTAGACATTTCCACTATAGAGTGGCGATTAACTACTTGCACTTATCTGACTTGGAAAGGAATATGTCAATTGAAGTTTGGATATTCAAAAAAAAAAGTCACAGCCAAGGCAATACACAACAATATGAGAATCAGTACTTAGAAGTTTGGGCTTAAGAGCATTTCCTAAGCTAGAAATTGGGAAGCTTGTCTTGAGAGATGTCTGTAATAGCCTCTAGTATATTTTGTAACGGCTGGCAATGCACAACAATATGAGAACCTATACTTGGAAGTTTGGGCATAAGAATGTTTCTTAAGCTAGAACATGGGAAGCTTGTCTTGAGAGATGTCCGTAATAGCCTCTAGTATATTTTGTAACTAAAAATGTCTTTTCCCTTAAGATATTTCTATAAGATTGTCTAAATGATATAATGGATATGTCTCAAAAGGATATCGTTTGAAGCTTTACTTTTAGAAAGTTCAGAGAGGGTTAATTTTGGAAATTACAAGGTTTCTTGAATTATCCTTTTAAATAATTGAGTTAAGAGAAATATCTTTAGAGAAGTGTGGATAAGGGATAAAATTTTCTATTAAGGTTTCTTGAATTATCCTTTTAAATAATTGAGCTAAGAGAAATATCTTTAGAGAAGTGTGGATAAGGGATAATATTTTCTTTTATAGAGAAAGCATATGAGATGATCTGGAAAAGTTATTTTTCAAGGAAAGAGCATATGAGAGGTTTGACATTCAAGAAATTTGAGAAAAAAGTCTACTCTATCCCATATATGGTTTTGTAGTGGGAGTTTCCATAGAAAAAGAAAAAGTGTGGCTCCAATGCTAGAACCCCCAGAAAAGAAGACCTAGAGTTTTGACAATGAAATAAACCTAGAGAAAATCTACTATTTCGATACTGAAAAGACCTAGGCCTATGACAGATATAAAGACCTAGGATTAGAGGGAAATTTTTAAGCTGAGGGAAAGAAGAGATCAATTGCCTCATACGTATTTGCTAAAAGTTGTATCATTTCTAATAAAAGATGAATGGAAGAAGAGGGTCATTGAAGATGAGTTTATAGATGGGTTCTCCTAAGTTTGAGGCATATGGAGAAATAACCTTCTTTATTCAATGTATATCACTAATTTTTATGTATATTGGAAGTGTTT